TCAGTGCTCAAAGATATAAATAATTTCTATATTTTCTTTGAATATTAATGTCACTGCCCACGTCCTTTTTTTTAAAAACTAAATTCTTTTGGGAATGGTAGGTAGTGCTTTATAGAGCAACATTAGTTTTGTGTGTAGTACAAGTTCTCCTTTTTAGAACTTGTGACTTTAATTAAAATCAATCCTTAAGGATAAGAATTTTAAATTTAGTTATTTTGGTATTTTAAATTATTTCCATTTATTTAAAACCTATGTTCTTGAAGATGTTTTCCATTTGGAATTTTAAATGAAAACACTGCCACCTTGTGTTACATACAGCAAAAGTTATTGTTGGGTAAGCTGGAAATCACTAATTGGGTGTATTGCCTATTGAGGAAAATGTATTTTTCTATATAATTATACTTGCTAACCTGTGTTTTCTTACGTTTTACCAAAGCGAAGTTTGACGTACATGATGGATGAAGTCAATATGAAGTCAAATCAGAGAGAGCATCAAAATACTCAGGTAAGAAGAAAAAAGAATTTTGTTATCTTCATTTGCAAAGAATTCTAGTGCTGTACTTTGTAGTTGGTGGAGGGAAAAGAGAGGGAGCAAAAACTTGGGGAGAAGCAAGGGTAGCTTGTTACATTTTGTGAATTTATTTTCTCATCCAATCCCATTTAAAAGGACTAACTTCTTTCTAATAAGAATGTTTGGGCCATTACTATCTTACAGAAAATATTGCCTTAATATATTAAGTAAATAATTTAACAACTTTGGTAATTTGAATATATCTGGTTTTGGTCATAAATCATAAATTTGTATTCATTTTAGAAAATTACAGTGATAAAAATGATTATTAGTATAAATACAATAAAATTTAAACTTTTTCTTAAAGTTTTTAAAGTTTTGATTAGAAAAATAATTTTGTTAACCACACAGCCCTTTTTACCTTTTATGTTCATCAAGATATTAAAAAAATTATTATGTGGGTTATGTTGAAGGAAGATCCATAATTAAATGGTTTATTATGTGACTGAAATACCATTAAAATGTAAACTGAACAGCTGTTTTCTGTATGATAAAACTAAAGCATTTTGTTTGGGTTCTTACAGATTACTGTGTAGTGTTAAGAAAGTGAACCAAAGCCTTAAATGGAACCTTACATGTTTTATTAGAGCAGTGAAATGGTGATGAGTTTAACCGAAGCATTAGAATAGTTTCATTACCTTGAGAGGAGTTAAGCAAAAGTTAAAATGGCATATTCTTCTACTATTACCTATTTCCAGAGAATGCTTTTATTTTTTATTTATTAGACATTATAGTTTACTGTCTTTTATGTACTTATATTCATTAGATGCCATAGGACTGTCATTTTCTGTATTTTTCTGATCTGTAGATTTTAAATCATTTGAATGTTATTGAAATTATTGTTTCTTTATACTTAAACCTGTTTTACATATGTATATACCTATATATAATAGCTAACTGCATATACCTACATATAATAGCTAACTGCTTTTACAAATTTCTTCCTTAAGAATTGTTCTTTTAAAGTTAGTCTGTCTTTACTATTTAAGGATCTCGAGATTGAAAATGAAGATTTGAAAGAGAGGTTGAGAAAAATTCAACAAGAGCAGAGAATATTATTGGATAAAGTCAATGATTTACAACTACAGCTGAATGAGGTAAATAATCCTCATCACACAAAAAAGTTCAAAATGATTTTACTACCAGTTATCATTGATAGCAAAGTGTGAATTATTATGTGTCACATCAAATCTCGGTGCTAGGTGGTGAAGGAGGTACAATCAGGTCATTACCCTTGAGGAAAGCCATCTTACTAGGACCTTTACATGAAACTTTTAATGTCAGATGCAGGAATAGAGAATACTGTTGGTATGTGGTGATAGCAAAGCACCGAACTATAGTTGGCACTCTGGGATTGGGGAGGAGTAGAAGCAGATGCGAGGAGGAAGAGCGAGTAAGAGTTGATGATTGGTGGGCTCCCAGAAGAATGCAAAGTGTGTCCTGACCTGGTGAGAAGAATGAGCGACAACTCAGACAACAGAACCGGTAGTACACAGACATTTTCTTCACACATCCTTGACCCTAGTCTTAAAGTCATGTGCCAGTCTTTTTAAAAGACATTTGCCAAGCTCATGCCTTCTAAAATAAACTTTCAGAAATGAAAATGTATTTCTTCTTATTTCTAAATTTAGGAAGTGATGGTTGCTGATGATCTGGAAAGTGAGGTAAGATGATAAATTTTACCTTAAGGTTGTAAAATGTTTTGTAAATCGAATATGGTATTGCACTAGAGGTTTATGTCCTCAATTGAGATGGAGACCAGGATTCTATTTCTCGTTATTGCTTAAAGGGAAAAACAAAACTACAAGTGACTGTGAAAATATTTTGAGTATAGTGGTATGGGTTATCATAAGCATTTTGTTGTTATTGCCTCTGAATGTCTCATTTTCTGTAAAATTTTTCATGAAAAAATATAAAATTCTAAACATTAGAATGAAAATATCTGAAAGTATAAAGTTTTAAAGCAAACAGAAATTTGAACTTTTTATAATACTCTTTGTATGTATTGTGTATTTTATTTATTTGTAGAAATTTTGAACTCTACTAATAGTTAAAAATCCAGGTTAGAGAATTCATTAAGTGCAGCCCTCAAAGTAATTCCAATTCACACTTTCTAAAACACTTTTTTAACTCAGTTTCAAGCACATGGCTATTTTTCTCTGTATTTGTTCTTTTCTATTTCAGAAAGAAAAGCTGAAGTCTCTTTTGGCAGCTAAAGAAAAGCAACATGAAGAAAGCCTAAGAACTATTGAGGCTCTGAAAAATAGATTTAAATATTTTGAGGTATAGAAAACTTTAAATTACTTTATATAACTCATAATGGGCAGTGGCAAGGAGCTTGGAGTCAGGCTTGAATTTGAGTTATCACTATTTTCTTTATAGTATGACCCATGCAATTTATTTAAAGTCTCTGAGCTTGTCACCAAAATTGGGGTGATTGTCCTTTTCTCCATAGAGTTGTTACAAAGGTTAAATGAGATCATTGAAATTAACTAGTATGAGACTGACACTTATTTTAGTTCCAGTTTCTCTTCCCCACCTTTCCTGTTTTTCCATCTTTACCTTTTCAGAACTTCATACTTCACCTATAAATTTGCAATGATTATGATAATAAGTCATATAAATGAATAGTGACATTTCCAGGATTATCTCAGAAAGGATTTGTGCATTTATGGATTAATTAAAACACTTTGCTTGGTGTGAGTAGTGTGGTAATAAGGCTCAGCTCATATACTCTGCTTTGATTGGATCAATTAACTCTTAGTTTTTCCAAGGGCATGATTTTTTAAAACTTTTAATTGAAATACAACATACATTTTAAAAAGAACACATGTTAAAGTGTATAAGTTGAAGAATTTTCACAAATTAAACACACCCAGATCAAGAACCAGAATGTACCAGCTCCCAGAGGCCTCCGCCTCCTTGCTTCCTGTCACAGTCCCATGCTCCCTACATGAGCAGTGCCTACTCTCTTGGCTTTTAACTGCAGAGATTTGTTTTACAGGGCCATGGTATGTATTTCGTAAACGTTCATCATCTGGGGCCACTGAGGAGGGTGGCTGGTTCAATGTGAATCTTTTATCTTTACTGGGGAATTTAACGACAATATATATATGAAAAGGAATTTTTTTCTTTGTAAATAGAAATATATGTGTACATCTATGAAAAAATATCAAGACATGGGTGAATCTCACAGACATAATATCGCATAAAATCACACAAAGAGTCTGCATGATTCCATTTTTTTGAAGTTCAGAATCAGACAAAACTAATTAGTGGTGATAAAGCTCAGAATAGAAGCCACCCTTTGATAAGAAGTTTCTGACTAGGATGGAGCATGAAGAAACTTCCGAGGGTGCTGGAAATGTTCTGTGTCTTGATCTGGGTGTGATTACACAAAATATATGTATGCAGACATTCATTGTACTGCACACTTCATATTTGAGTGCTTTACTGCATGTGAGTTATGCTTTGATGCATTTTTAAAAATAAAGCAAAAACATTCAGAAACACAGTCTTATAAGCTAAGGAATGATCTCGTATTGAAGCTTCTGTCTTTTTAATATTTGTAGAGTTTTTCAAGGTTAGTAGTGAAAGTACTAATAGCTAACATTTTCACAGCAACAACCATGTGCCAAAAACCACTCTGTGTACTTTACATGCATTCAACAAGCACATCAACTCTATGTGGTAGGTTTTATTATAATTTCCACTTTATAAGTGAAGACACTGAGGCACAGAGCAATTTACCCATGGTCGGGGGTTTTATAATTAGTTAACCACTGAACCAGAACTCGAACCCAGGCAGTCTGGCTCCTTTGTGCTCTTAACTACAGTACTAGTTAGTGTTAATGTTCAGGATAGCTTGAAAGAGAAAATACAGATATGTGTATGGGCACTTTGAGGTATCTATAAAAACTATAATTGGGTGCTATTTATATATTTTGTTTTAAGATGTCCAAAGAATAGGATTTTTCTGTAGCTTTAGACAAACTCAGAAGTGAGTCTATAACTTTCAGTGAGGTAATAAACTATAAGAAAATAACTTTTTTTTCTTGTCATAGAAACAATACATATTTATTTTAGAAAAATTAGAAAGGTTACTTAAACTGAAGGCAGAAAATAAATATACCCAGCACTCTTAGTACCTGACTGAAAACCTTTCAGACCCTTCTTTATGCATAACTTCTGTTACATACACATTTAGCAGGTGGGAATATTGTATATCCTGTTTTCTTTGTTTTCCACTCAATAAATGTGGACATTTTCCCCAGTCAGCATATATCTAGTATGACAACTTTTTCTTTTTTTATTAAAGTATCATTGATATAGAATCTTATGCCCAGGTTTCACATGAGCAATATTATGGTTACTACATTCACCCATATTATCAAGTCCCTCACACACACCCCACTGCAGTCACTGTCCATCAGCATAGTAAGAATAGACTCACTACTTGTCTTCTCTGTGCTAACTGTGTTCCCCGTGGCCCCCCTGTATTATGTGTGCTAATTATAATGCCCCTTATTCCCCTTCTCCCTTCTTACCCACTCTCCCCAGTCCGTTTCCCTTTGGTAACCACTAGTCTAGTCATGGGTTCTGTGAGTCTGCTGCTGTTTTGTTCCTTCAGTTTTGCTTTGTTCTTATACTCCACATATGAGTGAAATCCTTTGGTGCTTGTCTTTCTCTGCCTGGCTTATTTCACTGAGCATGATACCCTCTAGCTCCATCCATGTTGTTGCAAATGGTAGGATCTGTTTTTTTCTTATGGCTGAATAATATTCCATTGTGTATATGTACCACATCTTCTTTATCCATTCATCTACTGATGGACACTTAGGTTGCTTCCATGTCTTGGCTACTGTAACTAGTGCTCTGATAAACATAGGGGTGCATATATCTTTTTGAATCTGGGATCTTGCTTTCTTTGGGTTAATTCCTAGAAATGCAATTTCTGGGTCAAATGGTATTTCTGTTTTTAGTTTTTTGAGGTATCTCTGTATTGCTTTCAACAATGGTTGAACTAATTTACATTCACACCAGCAGTGTAGGAGGGTTCCTCTTTCTCTGCATCCTTGCCAGCATTTGGTATTGCTTGCTTTTTGGATGTTGGCCATCCTGACTGGTATGAGGGTGATACCTCATTGTGGTTTTAATTTGCATTTCCCTGATAAATAGCTATGTGAAGCATCTTTTCATGTGCCTGTTGGCCATCTGAATTTCTTCTTTGGAGAAGTGTCTGTTCAGCTCCTATGCACATTTTTTAATTGGGTTATTTGCTTTTTGGGTGTTGAGGCATGTGAGCTCTTTATATATTTTGGATGTTAACGCCTTATCAGATATGTCATTTATGAATATATTCTCCCATACTGTAGGATGCCATTTTGTTCTACTGATGGTGCCCTTTGCTGTACAAAAGGTTTTTAGTTAGATGTAGTCCCACTTGTTCATTTTTGCTTTTGTTTCCCTTGCCCAAGGAGATATGTTCATGAAAAAGTTGCTCATGTTTATATTCAGGAGAGTTTTGCCTATGTTTTCTTCTGAGAGTTTTATGGTTTCATGACTTACATTCATGTCTTTGATCCATTTCGAGTTTACTTTTATATATGGAGTTAGATGGTAGTACAATTTCATTCTCTTACATAAAGCTCTCCAGTTTGGCCAACACCACTTGTTGAAGAGGATGTCCTTTCTCCATTGTATATCCATGGTTCCTTTATCATGTATTAATTGGCCATATATGTGTGGGTTTATATATGGACTCTCTGTTCTAGTCCATTGGTCTATGGGTCTGTTCTTGTGCCAGTAACAAATTGTCTCGATTACTGTGGCTTTGTAATAGAGCTTGAAGTTGGAGACCATAACCTCCCCCAGCTCCTCACTTTATTCTTACTTCTTAGGACTGTTTTGGCTATTCAGGGTCTTTTCTGGTTCCATATGAATTTTAGAACTATTTGTTCTAATTTGCTGAAGAATGCCATTGGTATTTTGATAGGGATTGCATTGAATCTGTAGATTGCTTTAGGGAGGATGGCCATTTTGACAATATTAATTCTTCCTACTCATGAGCATGGGATGTATTTCCATTTATTGGTGTGTTCTTTTAATTTATCTCAAGAGTGTCTTGTAGTCTTCAGGGTATAGGTCTTTCACTTCCTTTATTAGGTTTATTTCTAGGTATTTTATTTTTTTGGTGCAATTGTGAATGGAATTGTTTTCCTGATTTCCCTTTCTGCTAGTTCATCATTGATATATAGGAATGCAACAGATTTCTGTGCATTAACATTGTATCTTGCAACTTTGCTGAATTCAGATACTAGTTCTAGTAGTTTTGTAGTGAATTCACCAATCTGGATGCCTTTTATTTCTTTGTTTTGTCTGATTGCTGTGCCTAGGAACTCCAGTACTGTGTTGATTAAAAGTAGAGAGAGTGGGCATCCTTGTCTTGTTCCCAATCTTAAAGGAAAAGCTTTCAACTTTTCACTGTTAAGTATGATGTTGGCTGTGGGTTTGTCATATATGGCCTTCATTATGTTGAGGTACTTACCCTCTATACACATTTTGAGAGTTTTTATCATGAATGGATGTTGAATTTTGTCAAGTGCTTTTTCAGCATCTATGGAGATGATCATGTGATTTTTGTCCTTTTTTGTTGATGTGGTGGATGATGTTGATGGATTTTCGAATATTATACAATCCTTGCATTCCTGGAATAAATCCCACTTGATCATGATGTTTGATCTTTTTGATGTATTTTTGAATTTGGTTTGCTAATGTTTTGCTGAATATTTTTGCATCTATGTTCATCAGGGATATTGGTCTGTCATTTTCTTTTTTTGTGGTGTTTTTGCCTGGTTTTGGTATTAGAGTGATGCTGGCTTCATAGAATGAGTTTGGAAGTATTCCCTCCTCTTTTAATTTTTGGAAAACTTTAAGGAGGATGGGTATTAGGTCTTCACTAAATGTGTGATAAAATTCAGCGGTGAAGCCATCTGGTCCTGGAATTTTGTTCTTGGGTAGTTTTTTGATTACCAATTCAATTTTATTGCTGGTACTTGGTCCATTCAGAGTTTCTGTTTCTTCCTGGGTCAGCCTTGGATGGTTGTATTTTTCTAGAAAGTTGTCCATTTCTTCTAGACTATCCAATTTGCTAGCATATAATTTTTCATAGTATTCTCTAAAAATTCTTTGTATTTCTGTGGTGTCCATAGTGATTTTTCCTTTGTCATTTCTGATTCTGTTTATGTGTGTAGACTCTTTTTTTCTTGATAAGTCTGGCTAGG